GTGTAGCAAATATTTTGACAGATATTGTAAATATGGCCACGAAACAAAATATATTCCCCACCCCCACTCCAGATACAAGTAAAACACTACACCTACCCCCAGAGGTATTTTTAGTACTTTACTCTGATTGGTTGTTGGAAAGGGGCATGATTGATAGCTGTCACCCAAAGCTTGGTGGCATGAAAGTGAGATTCTCAATGGTCCTGACCAGAGGTTCTTTCTTTCTGCTTGCTGCTTTGCAGCTCGTTGGTCGGCGCTTTGCACCGAATTATCGTACTCCAAGAGAGAGAAGAGAACCTCTGGGACCAGGGTAGCAAACAGGCAAATGGAGAAATAAACTTGCTTTACATTCCAGATTTACCTTCTGAGCTTAAAATGTATTGTATCAAAAAAGGATTTTAAGGCAAGGTTTTAACTAAGTTTCATGATCTGCCAATCACACTTAAATTTCTGCAAAGAGAACTTTTGTTTTAAATCTCCCACAATCCTGAAATGATCATTTTAAGATGTTTATCATTTTCTGCTATCCTAAGTATGTTGTAGTGTCATGGAAAGAACTGAAAACATAATGTGCTAGTAGTTGTAAGCCAGAAATCACAAGAGGAGAGAACTCAAGTATGCATCAAGTGCAAATGTCAAACTACTGAAAAACTTTAAAAAAAAAACATCAGAAACAGAAGGTCCAAATGAAAGAAAACTGTAAAAAGAAATCCACCTGGAAAATGAATAGTTCAAATCCATTGATGGTATAGAACATCACAAAGTCAGCATTGTAACAAAAGGTATTGCTAACCATCTTTATTACATACACTTTGAAATCACCAGTGATTCTTGCAATCTGATTGGCTCTCATTGGTGCAATTTTTTCAAAAGTTGAACCATTTTTTTGCTCTAAATCACATCTATTTCCTGGCCAATAAGAAAGCTTTATTAAAACACAACATCCAATCAGATTTCAAGGCTTGTTTAATTTAAGTAACTGATCAAATTGCAACTATTTCCGCACCAGCTCAACAATGGATCAATAAGATAATTGTACAGACTTTGAGAAACTGAGTTTGCAATTACAAAATGGATGTGAAGGTGTAGTCTGATCATAGGGGTGAGTGTAGTCCTGAGAAAGACTGTTGTCGGTGGTAGTGACTGACATTTCGACAACCTGTGCGGAAGTCATCATCAGAGTCAAGTGAATGATTTTTGTCCGTAGAATGTTCTTATTCCAGTTCGTGTGGAATGATCTGTTGGTTTTGCCGTGATGTTATTGGCTGTAAGACTCAAGTGACGTAAGTCGGTCGTGATTGGTCTGTTTTGATCTGTCGGTAAAGTTAGGTCATTCTTTTTCGGTCGTTTGTGATGTTTATGTCGTGAATGAGTCGTTTGTATGGGGCGGGTAGTTGTTGACATCTGTTTAGGGGAGTCTGTTCTAAGTTAGTAAACCAGCTTTCCAGAGTCAGTCGTTGAAAATAGTCAGTGCTGTAGGTTAGGCATTGCGCAGAGTCCCAGTCAATGTTGTGGTTGGTAAGTCGATGGTGTTCAGCAATGTGATTGCTGACATCACCTTTCCTCGTCGCCCGTCTGTGTTCAGTCAGTCTTGTTGTGAGGTTTCTGCCAGTCTCACCGATGTAGGAGGCTTGGCAGTCGGAACAATTGATCTTATAAATCGTTCCCTGTCTGTTCCTCGGTTCGTCTTTGTCTTTAACGTTGGTTAGTAACTGACGTAGTGTGGTGATGGGTTTGTGGGCGACGCGGATATTGAAGGGTAGTAAGATGCGCGAGATGTTTTCAGACATGCCTTTTATGTACGGTATGGTTGCTGTAGTCGTAGGGGTTGCGGTGTCGTTTGTTTCGGTAGTGGTAGTGGGTCGGTGAGTGTTTCGTCGGATGAAGTCGTTGTTGTAGTTGTTCTTCGTAAAAACACGGTGAAGGTATTTGTTCTCGTCGGATAAGCTGTCTGTCGAGTC